AGCTCTTGGTTTTGCTGATCTTTTGTATTGGTTTTTTTTTTTTTTTTTTTGGTCTCTATGTCATTTATTTCTGCTCTGATCTTTATTATTTCCTTCCTTCTGCTTACACTGGGCTTTTCTTGTTGCTCTCTTTCTAACTCTTTGAGTTGTAGGGTTAGGTAATTTATTCTCATTGTTTCTTGTTTCTTGCAGTAGGCTTGTAGAGCTATGAACTTCCCTCCCAAGACTGCTTTCGCTGTGTCCCATAGGTTTTGGATTGTTGTGTTTTCATTGTCATTTGTTGCCATGATGTTTTTTATTTCTTCTTTGATCTCTTTGGTAACCCAGTCATTGTTTAATAGCATGCTATTTAGTCTCCATGTGTTTGATTTTTTTGGATTGTTTTTATTGTAGTTAATTTCCAGTTTTATGCCATTGTGATCTGAGAAGATGCTTGATACGATTTCTATCTTCTTGAATTTGAAGAGACTTTGTCTGTGACCCAATATATGGTCTATCTTTGAAAATGACCCATGTTCACTTGAGAAGAATGTATATTCTGTGGCTTTGGGGTGAAATGTTCTGAAGAGGTCAATTAAGTCCATCTGATCTAGTGAGTCATTTAGGATTGATGTTTCTTTGCTGATTTTTTGTTTAGAGGATTTGTCCAATGCTGATAATGGGGTGTTAAAGTCCCCTACTATGATTGTATTGCTCTCAACCTCTCCCTTGATCTCCTCCAGAAGATTTCTTATGTATTTTGGTGCTCCTATATTGGGTGCGTATATGTTTACCAGAGTTATTTCTTCTTGTTGGATTGCTCTCTTTAGTATTATGAAATGGCCTTCTTTATCTCTTTTTATGTCCTTCCCTTTGAGATCTAATTTGTCAGATATAAGTATTGCTACCCCGGCTCTTTTTTTATTTTCATTCGCCTGGAAAACCTTTTTCCATCCCTTCACCATCAGTCTGTGTGCGTCTTTTTTTTCTGAGGTGGGTTTCCTGTATACAGCAGATATATGGATCATGTTTTCTTATCCACTCAGTTACCCTATGTCTTTTGATTGGGGCATTTAATTCATTTACATTTAAAGTTACTATTGATAGGTACTTGTTAGTTGCCATTTTTTATCTTTACTGTTGTGTTCCTTCTTTTTTTCTTATTTTTTCTTTTTACAGCAGACCCTTTAGCATTTCTTGCATTGCTGGTTTGGTGGTAATAAACTCCTGAACTCATTTTTTGTCTGTGAAGCACCTGATTTCACCCTCAATTTTGATTGATAGCCTTGCTGCGTACAGTATTCTTGGATTTAGACCCTTTCTTTGCATGACTTTATATATTTCATTTCATTCCCTTTTTGCCTGATGTGTTTCTGTTGAGAAATCAGTCGCTAGTCTGATGGGGGCTCCTTTGTAGGTGACTGTCTGTCTCTCTCTAGCTGCTTTTAAGATTCTTGCTTTGTCGTTGGTGTTTGCCAGTTTAATTATAATGTGCCCTGGCGTTGGTCTTCTGGGGTTCATTTTGTTTGGGACTCTGTGAGCTTCTTGGATTTGTGTGAGTTTTTTCTTCTCTATATCAAGGAAGTTTTCTGTCATTATTTTTTCAAATAGGTTTTCTATTCCTTGCTCAGTTTCCTCTCCTTCTGGCACCCCTATTATGTGGATGTTGTTTCATTTCATGTTGTCCCAGAGTTCTCTTAGGATCTCCTCCTGCTTTTTAATTTTTTTTTTCTAGAAGCTGCTCTGCTTGGGTATTTTTCCCTACCTTGTCTTCTAGCTCACTAATGCGGTTCTCTGCTTCTTCTAGTCTACTGTTGATGCTTTCTATTGTGTTCTTTATAGTAGTGATGTTATTTTTCATTTCTTCTTGCTTTTTCTTCATTTCCTCTTGGTTCTTACACATATTGTTGAATTTGTCTTCCATTCTTTTCATCCACCTTATGACCATTTCTCTGAATTCTTTCTCTGACAGGTTGCTTGCCTCCGTTAACTCCATTTTGCTTACTTCCTTTTCTGGTGATGCCTGTTTTTCTTTCATATGTGGGCTGGTTCTTGGTCTCCCTATGATCTCTCTTCTCCAGGTGTTTGGTTATGTAGTTCTCTCTCTGCTGCATTGATTTAAAGGCACAAAATACAACACAACAAGGCACAACGTACAAGGCACTGAACACAAATGTATTCATGATATTAATAACCCCAATAAAGGTGACCACCCGAGCAAAGAGAATTAGGGGATAAGGAAGAAAGAAGAGTAAAAGAGAAAAGAGAAAAAGAAAAAAAGGAGTGCAAAAATAAAATTTGGAAAAAGGAGGAAAAAAAAGTAGGAGAGAAAAGAGAGAGAATGAAATAGAAGGGGGGAAGAGACTATTTATATGGGGAGAAAACTCCGATAGAACCGCCACTAATCCCAACAAATTCCAGCAACAGATCCCTGGAGATGAATGCAAACTACAAACAACCACTAATATCAAGCGAGGCAAGGGAAAACAGAAGCATAAAAATAACTGGAAAAGAAAGAAAAAAAGAGAAAAAAAACCCCAACATTAAAATGAAAAGAAAAAGCAAAACAACCTCACAAATAAGCATAAAAACCCCCAATATACTCAACATTCAAGCAAACAACAACAAAACAACAGAGAGAGAGAAAAAATTTGGATAGTGAAAAAAGATAAGGGAGAGGTGTATATGGATTTAGAGCAGGGTATTGGAAATTGGATATGTAAGTAGGGTGAAATTTTGACAGGGTGTAAAAAGAAGGAGTAGGGAAAATCTAAAGCAGGAATAGGGTAAGAGAAACAGGACAACAAAAGGGGAAAAGTGAGGAAGACAGTTTTGGCATAAAGGTAAAGTTGAGGTACAGAAAAATGATGCTAAAAGAAGGATGAAAATAATGTAGAACACTAATCCCAAAATAAAATAAAGAGAAAATAAAATGACACTTTAAAAATGGTAAAATGGTAGTAGTAATAATACTGGTTAAAAATAAAAATGTAGTAATTAAAAGGGTAAAATCAGGTGATGAAAAAGAAAAAAAATTGTTTTCTTAATTAAAAGGTGAAAAAATGATAAAAAAAAATGTGCAGTAGTGAAGGTCCTTCAGTTCTTCTACTCTTCTGTCTGCCACGCCTTAGTCCTGCTAGGTATTCAGGAGAGTGTTGAATTTCCCTGCGATACACTGTTCCTTGTGTTGTAAACCACAGTCCTGATTTTAAAGCAGGCCGTATTTGTTTCCCAGACTGCCTTTATTTGTGTTTACAGAAGAGTCAGTTCATGGCTCTGCCTCTGGGTGGCAGTGTGTCTGGATTGACCTCCGAGGCTATAAGTCCTCTCTATCCAGTAGTTAGGGTTTATTTTCTCTATTGTACTTAAAACTGGTTTGGGAAAGTCCACTGCCCAGAGCTGGTTCTTTAATCATTACTCCCTGCTCTGTTTCCCAGGTTCCACAAAAATAATTTTCCCCTGCAGCCTCTGCGAATGTCCTCAACTGGGCAATCCCATGCACTGAGTTTAATAATCAAACACAAAGATTTAAGGGGAAGAGAAAAAAACAAGAGCCTGAGAAGTTGCGCGAATTCGCAACCCTCCACCTTCCAGCTCTGTGCGCAGTCTCCTCCGTGCGCCTTCTCTCCCCTGGCAGCAACTGGCACACTGGCAAAATCCAAGGTTGCCTTTTTGCATCCAGTCCAGCTATGGGCTTATTTTTAGCATTCCCTTCTGTCAGCAGCCCTGTGGGAGCCCTTCCACACTCGCAGATCACGCTGGCACCAAAGACTGCGGACTGTGTGGGGCAGCAGACCTCCCTGCGCACATTCCTCTTCCCAACCTGAATTGCAAACTGCACCTTCAGGCGCAATCTGACCTTTCCATGAGGAGAAGCAGGGCTCCACGTAGTCGCGCTGTCCAAGATCTGGTGTTTCTGGGTTAGCTGCCGATCTCTGGATGCCGGGTCTTTGGATGTATATGCTACCAATAACAGCCACTCAAGATGGCGAGGTCTCCGTGGCTGAGCCGGCGCTCCTGGAGAGATTTCAGCCGCAGTCTCCAACCGTCCCCTTTCTCCAGGAGTCCTCCCCTTTCCCGGCTGCAAACTGTCTCTCAGCTGAATATCCTCTGCTTATTTGGGCTGTATGTTAACCCGCTTCTGCTGCTCACCCTATCTGCTCTGGGACAAGGCATGGGACACATCCGTCTATATCTCCGCCATTCCCCCCCTCCCCCCCAGATGAGTTATTTTTATGCTGGCCTGATTTTATACATTATATGTAGAATTTACCAGTTTACTTCCCAGAAAGCAACTTCTATCACAATTCTGGGAAAATTCTGGGGAAACTTTATTTACAATAAGCTTTTCCCCATTATTATTCCAATAATATGGGGATGGAATGTAGGGAGGGTAAATAAAAAGCAATTATTTTACTAAATGCCTTTCATTGTCAGAGTAGAAAGTATGCTTGACCTGGAATGAAATGGAGAATGATAATATAATTCAGTGCTGGAACTTTTCTCCTTCCTCCATGTTACATTGTATGAATGTGGTTAAGTGTATTTTCTTTAATTTTCCCTAAAACACTATTAAATAAAGATTGTGTGCAATAGCTTTTATGTAAGATTTGTGTTAAAGCGTGGCATTTAAGTGAAGAAGCATCTAGCTGAGTCCCAATCAATGCACAGAATTGTGAAGGATAACAAAATAGTTTATAGACAATAAATTTTGAGGTGGTTTGTTATTCAACAATATATAACTGAGACACCTTGAACTATATTGCAGGTTTGAACTAAGATTCTGTGAAATAATGAAACGCATTTACACATTTATACTGCTGCCTCTGAAAAGATTAGTAACATTTTAATACCGAGAGTAGATTAATTGTACTATCAATAAATAAAGTGCAATATTAAAGTGTTTAGTTTTTATATAATTTAATTCATATCTTTGTATAGTAGGTTTGTTATATTACATGATAGGTGTGGTTCTTTAGTTTTAAATATTTTTTTCCATTTTTAACTCATTAATAAATTCATTAGGTTTGACGGCATCCGTTTGCCATAGATAGAAAGAACAAACAGATATGTAACAGGCAACGAAAAGCACTGGGATCTACTGCTGGGAAGACTTGCAAGGGTCTGTGCGGAGTGAGCCTGCAGAAACCTGGGCCCCGGTGGTGCAGTGTGGCGGCAGGGAGAACAGGGCCGGCGGGGAGCACAGCGTCCTTCTGGGACACAGGGCCCGCAGGCGCAGGCCGGGGCTGAGGGGCGCTCACTGCCGGTTCCTGGGGCGCAGCGTGGGCTCCCTGGCCTTCCTCCCCTCCCAGTCGCTCCAGCCTGCAGTCTTTGGCCCTGCGGTTCTTGAGCCACACCTGCACTTGGTGCTCCTGCAGGTTCAGCCTGGCCGCCAGGGTCTCGCGTTCCTCATAGGTCCCGTAGTGTTTCCCCCCAAAGAATTCCTCCAGGACCCGCAGCTGTTGTGCGCTGAACACCGTGCGCCGCCGCCGTGTCTTCTTCTTCGGGGAGCTTGGGGACAGCGAGGAGCCGGTGGGAAACCCAGGTTCTTGCATCCTGGCTGCTGTGGCCGGCAGCACAGGGCTGGCAGGGAGCACAGGGCTGGCCGGCAGCACAGGGTCCTCCTGATACGCAGGGCCCGCAAGCTCAGGAGCAGCCTGAGGGGCGCAGACTCCCAGTTTCTGCGGCTCAGCGTGGGCTCTCTCACAGGGATTCCCTCGCAGTCGCTGCAGCCTGTGGTCTTTGTCCCTGCGGTTCTGGAGCCATGCCTGCACTTGGTGCTCCTGCAGGTTCAGCCTGGCCGCCAGGGTCTCGCGTTCCTCATAGGTCCCGTAGCGTTTCCTCTCAAAGAATTCCTCCAGGACCCGCAGCTGTTGTGCGCTGAACACCGTGCGCCGCCGCCGCGTCCTCTTCCTCTGGGCGTTTGGGGACAGCGAGGAGCCGGTGGGAAACCCGGGTTCTTGCATCCTGGCTGCTGTGGCCGGCAGCACAAGACTGGCAGGAAGCACAGAGATGGCAGGCAGCACAGGGTCCTCCTGATACGCAGGGCCCGCAGGCTCAGAAGCAGCCTCAGGGGCCCAGACTCCCAGTTTCTGGGGCCCAGCGTGGGCTCCCTCACCTGGATGCCTGCGCAGTCGCTGCAGCCTGCGGTCTTTGGCCCTGCGGTTCTTGAGCCACACCTGCACTCGGTACTCCTGCAGGTTCAGCCTGGCCGCCAGGTCTCGCGTTCCTCATAGGTCCCGTAGCGTTTCCTCTCAAAGAATTCCTCCAGGACCCGCAGCTGTTGTGCGCTGAACACTGTGCGCCTCCGCCGTGTCTTCTTCCTCGGGGCGCTTGGGGACAGCGAGGACCCGGTGGGAAACCCGGGTTCTTGCATCCTGAATGCTGCTGGGCCCTAGCAAGCCGCCCTGGAGTGCCGCCTTAAATACCTGGTAGGCACTCACCACCTACCGGTCCCGCCCGAAGGGGCTCTAGGCTGCCCTGCCTTAAATTGGATCTTGTAATCTATTTATACTTATAGATATCTCCACTTCAGGTGCTTGCGGTTTTTATGTTTTCCTGAG